ACAGGGCGGCGTAAACATTCGACCCAGGGCTGTGACTTATACACGAATCAATACAGGGAACCTTTCGGCAAGACAAATCTTTCCCTGCCATCCCCCGACGGCGGATTACTGCTGGGTTGTGGTAAACGGAGTCACGTTTCTCAACGTGTACAAGGACCCGAACGACCCGACGGCCATTCGACCACTCCTCAGCTGGGACCCACCACCACGATCTGTCGCGGCTGGTGACTTCAACGCGGTGCACCGCGCATGGCAACCAGATGCTGCCCGCCCACGCGGACAAGGAATCGAAATTGAGAGATGGGCGGAACGCCATAATCTCACCTGTCTGATTGTGGGCGAGCCAACGCATCGAGCCGGAAACACGCTGGATCTTGCCTGGACCAACATCAACGGGGCCCAAGCATGGGTGGGTCGCAGCGAGTGTATAACCAGCGACCATCTTCCGATTCGAGGACAAGTCCCCACCGGATGCGGAAAATGGGACCAGGAGCCATCGCCGATTAGGGTAACGCGCGGAAACTTTCCGAGGTTCTCCCTTGCCGTGGCGCAATTCACTCACCCGCCACCAGTGTTGGACTCGGTTTGCCAGCAGCAGGAACACGAAGGAACAAAAGACACGGCAAATGTGCGCCTTGGTGGACTCCGGAATGCAAGCTGGCTCACACGGAATATCGTGCAGCAGTGACTCCGGAACAGCGATGGATACATTCGAAGAAGCTGCGCTCAACCCTCAGAGCGGCAAGGAAAGAGTACCAGACGCGTCAAGTCGAAGCGATCACGACACCAACTGATGTGTTCAAGCTGATGCGCTCGGCCGAACCAAGGCAGGCAAGCACCCCCCCTCCACTCAACCACGAAGGGAAGCTGTACTCCGATCCGGCCGAGCGAGCAGCGGTACTCCGGGATGCTCTTTTGGCACGACACCAAGCGACGGACGACCTACCGCCACTCGATGCGCCGAGTACCGACCGAATCCCCTGGAACGACCATGTCTCGGACGAAGAGATTCGCATGTGCACTGTAGGCTGCGCCAACACAGCGCCTGGAGCAGACGGGATCTCTGTGGAGCTTCTGCGAACATGTTGGAAGACGATTGGACCATTTGTCGGCACTCTCTTCCGCGCCTGCATCAGACTCGGCACCCACCCATCCTACTTCAAGCTGGCTGAAGTGGTGCTCCTCCGCAAGACGAACCGAGATCCAGCGACTGTTAAGGGCTGGAGACCGATCGCACTTCTGTCATGCTTGGGTAAGGGACTGGAACGACTCTTGGCGAAGCGGATGGCCCATCTCGCGGTTACGCTCAACGTTGTCGGAGACCAACAATTCGGAGCGCTCCCTAAGAGGTCGGCAAACGACCTTGTCAACTGCGTAGTCCACGACATCGAAGAGGCAAGCACCCAGGGATGGGCGGCCACATTCACGACTCTCGATGTCCAAGGCGCATTTGATGCAGTACTCCACAACCGTTTGGTGAGGAGGATGCAAGAGCAGGGGTGGCCAGACTCGATTCTTCGATGGACGGCTTCATTTCTTGCACATCGAAAGGTACAAGTCCGATACTCCGGAGGGGTAACCGGGCAGAGAGAGCTGGTTTGTGGGGTTCCGCAGGGATCACCAATATCGCCACTTCTCTTCCTTTTATACATGGCAGAGCCTATGCGAAGCGGCAACCCAGGAATGAGGTTCAGCTACGCAGACGATGTCGGGATCCTAGGGTTCGGGCGCAACATTGCTGAGTCGGCCGCTTCTGTACAGAAGGAAGTGGATCATCTTCTGGAGTGGGCAAGTAACAATGCAGTCTCCTTCGATACTAACAAGTCGGAGATAGTCCAGTTTCCCGGCAGGAAACGCGAGAATCCGGTGGCTATTCGTGTGAACGGCGTGGTTATCGAGCCAGCAGACCAAATACGCTGGCTTGGAATACACCTAGACCCGCGACTGGACTTTAAACACCACGTCACAACTTGGTGTGTAAAGGCATTGAAGGTTGCCCAGCACATGCGCCGTTTCAACTCAGCGTATCGAGGAGCCGCTCCTGCGGCACTGGTTCGAGCAGTGGATACTTGTATTGTCCCAATAGCAACTTTTGGATCAGATGTTTGGTGGCCCGGCCTCAAACGCCCGACCATTAGGGGAATCATCACACCTCGAACCAGCATCTTCTGCGAGATGATTGACAAGGCAATCTTGACAGGACTGCGCGCTGCCCTCCCGGTAATGAGAACGACATCGAATCTTGTTCTCCATCGCGAAGGAGGTATCCCAACTGGAAAGATCATTCTGGAAGGGAACCGCTTACGGCTTTCGGCTCGACTGCACTCACTAGACAACCGACATCCGCTCCGGACTCGTGCCGCCGTGTGTCCAAACGTTGGAACACGGAAGTACAAGAAGTCTGCTCGGGTACCCAAGAATCCGGGGATCCAGATGTCACGAGTACAGCGGGCCTACCGTCAACTCCCGGACGCGGAAGACGCCGAGCCTCTGCCGCCGCCATGCTATTCTTCGAGCTCTGGCCCAAGGAAGGAGGAGGAGGAAAAGGCTACTCGGTTCCTTGGAGAAGTACTAGCATCGGATATTTGTGCTTACCCGGATGGATCGTCGGAGGGACATGGTCGCTCAGCATGGGGGTTCGTCTTGAAGAGAGATGGAAAAACTCTGTTGAAGGGATGCGGTATCAAGCATGGTGGTGAAGTGCTCGATGCGGAAATACTAGGGGCGAGGAAGGCCCTGGAAGCTGCGCTGGGATTGTTGGAGAGGGAGAATAGTGGAAGCGACGGCAGGCGGCGGATCAACGTGTTGACGGATAGTCAGTCTACAGTGAAGGCACTGCTGACGGGAACTGCCACAACAAGTTTCGACGACGTGCGCCAATTTAGAGCGTTATCAGAAAAGGCTCGAGTCTCGGTCCAGTGGATACCAGCCCACTCCGGGATACAGGGAAACGAAGAGGCCGATAGAGCTGCACGCTCCGGCCTCCGACAACTGCCAAGTAAAGAGAGCCAGCCTGGCTCCGTCACGTTGGCGTACGTTCGTCGGCTCATGAACCGGAACAGGCAAATGCTTCTTGACGACTGGTGGGAAGAAGCGTGTCCACCTAGATATCGTAACCTGGGTCTTCTCATGCGACGACGCAAGCCACGCGAGCTGGCACTTTCCCGGCGGCTACTTCGTAAACTGATCTCAGCCCGCACGGGACACGGAAACTTCGCCGCATGCCATCGTCGTTTCAACAACTTCGCCGCTTCCATGGAGTGTGCGTGTGGAGAGGAAACAACGCCTCTCCACTTCATTCACTGTCGACTGCACGCACGCCAGACGCGTCGACTACGAGGTACAATGTCACATCACGACCTTGTCCACAAGCTCCTCGGGCCTAAGTGTCTCGAGAACTTTACAAAATTTGCGCAGGAAACCGGCTGCTTCGGGGGCCCACCTGCGACTCCGTCTCCAGCTCTCAGCGGAGACGGTGGCAATTAGTCATAGCACGATGTATGGCAGGTAGGAAAATGAGACCAGAAGTGTCAGTTTCCAACCACAAACAGGAGTATGGGATTTGGAATTTTGGTTATGGGAGTCTGTGTGGGCATTTATTTTCTTTATTATAACTAGCTACTTTTTGTGTAGTGAGTCACGCGGTGAGACCGAGTCGGGTATGTGGGAAGCATGATCTCGGCCGTGTACACCGGTCTTTGACTCCTAGGAGATATAGAGCTTAGCTTAGGACCTAAAAATAAAATCAATCAATCAATCAATCTCGCTCCGACACGATCAACATAGCTAGCCTGGTACAGCATCTAGAGTGTGTTATCCCTGCTACGCACTGACACATTTACAATAGAAACTTCACTTCTGCACATTAATGAAGATATCTCTCCACAAATTATCTCAGCTGGTTCAGCGCAAATGTACATTCCTAAATCATATCAGTCATAATATTAGACAAGCAACCAGATGGTTAGAATAACAGTGACCAATGAACGAGCTGCATACACGCATGACAAGTGCTAAGGGCGAAGAGAATTACGGACACTGCACGTAAACAGTACTACAAAGAATTTATATTTTTCTATAGAGATTAACAACAGGAAATATGTTACATGAAATATGCCCTCTGCAGCTACCAGTAACCTAGATTCCTGACACTTAATCCTCAGCTACTGAGTGATCTGTTTCCCACCCTCAGCATAATTAACTCAGTGATTCGAGTCGTGAGAAATGATCCTACGTCGGGTCACATGATTAAAATCCTTGAACGAGGCTGGGCTATCTTTCAGGCCCAGCCTAATCGAGCGGGGCACAGCCCGTAACAACAAGATGTGACTGGTCGCAAGCGGTACATCATCCTATGCTATCGTCGCGTCCCACGCAATCAACTTGCTCGATGCCGTAAATGCCATCAGTTCAGTCGTATTTATGTCCTCGTCGTTCGCGAGAACCTTGCTCGCTCTATTGCTAAGAGAGAAAAGTCGGGCACACTGGGCCGCAATATTCTGAGAATTCTTTTAGAAACTGCCTGCACTATCCTACGCAGCTGTAGATAGCAGCATGAATCCAGATGGTGATGATTTAATAGATATTAATAGATTCTTCTGGATATAATGACATTAAATGATTTACATATTTCAGGGCTATATCTATTATACTAAGCCTACACTGCATATCGGGTGAGTCTGTTTTGCTTAGTCGGAATTCCAATCATCCTTTTAAATCTACCTTAGCACGTGTTGGATTAGTATTATCATGGAAAGACGCAACGCTGACAATTGTTGAACCTTACACAAATCCTTGCTGAAGCGCGAAGATTTATGGAGGGCTATCCTACACTTTTCGTGACATTGTATATTGAATCCGATTCATTCTATATCTCGGACATATCAAGCAACAAGAGAAAACGCTTTTTTTGCCATATGGTTTGACGAAAAAGGGCGTAGAGAGTCAGGAAAACGATGCGTTGGATCTTGTTTAGCTTAGAGGCACTTTTGATAATATCATTAGCGTTTAATCCCAACGACGACGAGGTTACGAGGGCTCAGCTCATAATTGAAAACAGGTTCAACCCAGCACTCCCGAACAATATCCGGACTCTCTTTTAAAAATAACCATCGATCTACCACAATCAGGCTTTCGACCACACCAGCACTGAAAGACATCAAAGACCAAGTGATACTAAGCTCTTTCTTTAGAGCCCCATGCTTTAAGATATACTCATCAATCTGTTCGTCTGTAATTTCCTTCATCTTCTCCAGGTTCTGTACACACCGCCCAGGCTTTTGTAAAAGTTTATCAATGGCGCCCCTTACATATAGCCTAAAGTTTAGGAAACAGCCTTTTCGGAGACTCCCGATAATTATCGGCTCAGTGCTCCCCATGATACCATCTGAAACACCCTCTGTCAAGTGCACTACACCCCAGTCCAAAAATATTCGTTGCAAAAGTGCTCGATAATAGTGTCGGGTGAAAAAGTCATCGCTCTCTTTTTTGGTCCAATTCCATGGTGCTTGCACCGCCATCATACGCGACGTGATATTGAGTCTCAGCCCGTCGTCACTATATGATGCGACACGCTTACTCATGGGGTAGCCATGCGGGTCGCCAGCTGCATTATCGTCAATAATAAGAGAGGAATTTATGGCATTTTGGTTCGGACGAAGAAGAGGATGTTTAATAGATGGCGCACCAAATCTTTCGGATAGGAGATTGTAGCAACATCCAACGATAGCAATAGCACTGACAGTCGGGTTAAGGAGAAGCGAACGTATGCCATGGTGAGACAAGTTACCGCAAGAGTGAATTGAAATCACCATTATTTTTGGGATTGTAACACCTAGACACGTGCCTTTTCCGACGGGAATTACTTCGTCTGAAACTTTAGTTACGCCATCCTCTGTTGAGACTGGCATAAATTCTGGAGGATTTTCTTCAATTTGGCTGATAATATAAGAGAAATCAGCGTCTCGTATCTGACACTGGATGTAATTGATAAAGCCTTTTCCATCTTGGGGTGTATAAATAGTCTTGAGTTCTCGAGTAGGCCTAAAGTCCGCAGGAGCTTGCGAAGGTCTATGTGTGTCTGTAGTCTGCTTGAGGTCTTGGCTTTGATTTATAGTCTGCCTCAAATTGCTCTGTTGTTGACGATAGACCTTTTTATTGCGCCATACTGTTTCTCGCTTGGCAACATTAGCCACAACATCCATGTTCTTCGCCCCGCTAATGTTGAGTGCCTTGTTCTCAACGGCCACAATATGTTTGTTGTAAGGGTTGCTCGCTAGAGCTCTTCCGAGATAGTTTTGTCCACTCCCCAAGTCTAGAAAGTGCGTGATCTCCTGCCCTGACTCATGGGCAATATCATCTGCCACTTTAGCAACGTACTGGGCGAAATTCGTCACTTCGTGTACCTTCTTCGGGATCATTCCCACAGCAACATGACGTGGAAGCACGGGAGGCCTTATCTGCTGGGCTGTGGGCATTTTCCGTCGTAAGGAGTGTTTCCTGATCTGATGCACGTAGTCGATCAGTGTCTTGGGCGCCGGGGCCTGCATGGGGGCGTTGAGATCGTCACGCATGAAGAAATCCAAGAGGGCCATGGAATCTTGGGCTAGGAGCCATTGGCGCCATTCGGATGGTATCACAGTGTGATAAAGGCTTTTTTCCTGCGTGAAGAAATCGAGGATGTGGATACCACCACAGAGGGTCTGAAAGATTTGCGAAGTCGTCGAAAATTTTAGTAAGGATTCGACGTACTCTTCAGCGCAAGAAAATTCTTCATTGTGTGGGAGGGGCGTTGAAGGGATCATAACATCGGCTGATGGTATATTTTTGAGATTTATTCTTGACGATCTATAGCATCTTTATACATGCCCACGGCCTCGGTAGTAAACAGGGCTCCGCAATGCTGCCCCGACATCTTTGAGGATCCAAGATTGACAGACCTCTAGATTAGTACGAGGCTCTCATAAATTGTAATGCTTATGTAATGTTGTTCACGTTGGAGTCCGGACGCAAGATAAGGAATACTGAACTTATATAGACGATACCCTGTATTAATAGGAAACCAAGTTACATCTAGTCTTAAGCTCTACTATACATATTGGTAGATTGGAGCCACGAGACACCCGTAACCTACGCCATCTTAAAGCTAAGCTTATCTCACTTTTCACACATACTAATCCATCAGGAACCTCATCTTCATCAGCCTCATCGTGTCCCGACCTCATTTCCGAACAGCGATAAAGCAACCTACTTACACATCGCCTGGATTCATGGGTTAGGTTGTGGGGGACTGTTCTCAACACCTGTCAGTGGTGTCCCCTGCGCACCTCCAGCTCCCACTGTAGAGTCTGCAGAGCCGAAATTGAGGAACAGCTTTTCAACTTTAAGCTGACTTATCTCCCCCTCCGTCAAATCTACGATTCTGATTACATACAAGACGACGATAATGATGCTGGAAATGAGGAAAGATAATGCGGTACCAATCAGTACAACGCTAGTCAGAGAAGTCCTCCTTACATTACAACATGTGCTACCCACCGGTGGGCGAACAAAAAGCCCACGAAAGCAAAGTAAAAGACCCTTCTGCCCTCAAGGAACCTAGATTTCGACTCATCAAAAATATCGTCCCTTCTAACCTTTAATTCCCAATCTACTAGCCAGGATGGCATCTGAAATACATGAGTTAGCCAACGACCCCACGTCCGTAACGACTTTTGGATGCTAGGCTAGGCTCCTTCACGACAGTCACTCTTGACCAAGACTTTTCTGACATCCTTTCACGACCTTCGGATTGTTCTGCGGCATGGACCAGAGGAGGAGTAAGAAGGAGGCTAGGAAGTTCGAGAGACGCTCTTAGGTATACATAGGTCTGCTGCGCCCGGCTGGCCGGCCTCTTCGTCATAGGAGAGCCCTGCACCCAGTGGTTTTTGAGACTTTTCCCTACAGTTACACACCCGCAAATAGCCATCGTTTTGTTGGCTGGAGAGTGGATATAATGACAGGATGACGGCTCCTCTTAGTGTGTACTCGAATGAAGACCTATGGGGGTATTACTGTTGGAAAGAAGTCGTGAAGGGGGCATAGGAGACGGTACACTACCCGAGGCAAAGATACGCCCGGCCTATAGGCAGAAAGGACCTACATGTCCTTTTATAGCCATAGACTTTAAAGGACAATAAACATATATGGGTTAGATTGTTAATTGACATTTGCATGACCTACTACACAAGGATAAATCCCGGGCTTCTTATCCATTACATAAACTCATTAGCCAATGAATTTCCAATGCACTTCACAGAAAATTACTCTCGAAAATGTGCATGACCAACTCAGATTGACTGCTATCGTACACAGAAAGTTTATTCCAGCTAAGCAATCAACCACTTTAGACTTCATGTAATTCATCCACCATGCCGCTTGACTGTCCAGAGATTCCATTGCTATTGCTTCAAAGCTTAGATTCTTCCTTGGAACCGACCACTACTCACCGAAGCCCCCGATAAATGCATCGTATTCAACTTTCCTTTTAAATGCCAGCCCTATCACATCCTAGCACATCTTCACAGTACCGTCGGGTGATACCTAATCTCGAAGATTTTAACTCCAGTGAGAAAGCATAAAGCCTGATAGCAGCATTCCAGGAGTGGGAGAGCGCATGGAAATCTTTTAAGGAAGAGCAACTATCTTCTCACCAGGCTTCGGCAGACCCAGAACATTGGAAAGTAGTAAGTATAAACACCGATAAGAGAACAGGCAGAAAAAGAATCACCTACAGAAACACTCCCTCTAACATCCATCGAAACCTGAGCAGGGCCCAAAGTAGTATTGCAATACAGATGAGAATTGAGAATATCGGCCTCAACTCTTATCTTTATGGAAGAAAGGTCCCTGGAGTGGCAAATCCAAATTGCCAGTGTGATTATCTGTCACAAAACCTGAAACATATGGTCATGGCTTGTCCTCAATGGGCTAAGGGAAGAGGAGAGGTGCTGCAAGGGGCAAAAGATAAGTCTTTCGAAGCTATGATGAACAGCCCGGAAGACATGAAGAGAATTACAGAGTGGATACTTACAAACGGCTGGCTTGAACAGTTCCGGCTTGCAGAAGAAATTGAGACAGCAGTCAGCGAAAGGATTGAGCGATCGGGGAAAGGATAGGACGGTATTCACACTGGACATACATTGTAAACGCACTTCCTGTAGGAAACCTCAGAAACCAAATGGACACGGGACAGACAGTTGAGGGGGGTTTTTACCAAATTTGGTTTCCTCCTGTGTAAATATTATAGCTAGATATACATGCATGGGCCCATAGGGTACCTGAACGGGCTAAATGAAATCAAATCAAAAGCATAAAGCCTCATTATTTCTACTCTATTTTTTTCACGTATTCACACTCTGTAGTATGATCACTTTCTTTATTAGGACTTGCATTATTGATAATGTGGCGGTAGAGATAAATCGTATGTGTTGGTCTTTCTGAGAAAGGTTTCCTTTAGAAATTGTTACGGTTTGACCGTTGTTTTAGCTTAGGAGGAAACCTAAGCGTTTAATTAGGAATAATTACGATAGGACTGAAAGAGGAAGGATGGGCAAATAGAGATGAAATGGCACTACTAGCCAGGAGGTCGAAGCAACATCATAGCGTAATGGCTCCTGATAATACTTGGCTCAGTAGCAAGTATTAGGTCTAGGGAGATGTTATCAGTCAGCAGATTCACGAAACGGACCAAACGTTATAAGTACCTGTTAGTAGTAGCTAGAGATTTCTTTTCTCTTCATATAGTTTAATAAATCGATTTATTCATTACCAACTCGGTTTCCGTCACAGAAATTAGGAAAATAGACATTATTTTAGCCGTTGAATTCGTATATTCGGGCAGACTGGAGTCTATTTATGACATGGAAGGTGTTGATTTTGTAACTTATGTATCGCGCCAAAGTCACTACGCACTGGCTTTTGACCAAATATTTTGGGTCAAAATTAATTAAGCCCGCAATGTATCAGAATGAGTTGTTCTGATTTTTTTCGCGACATAGTTAATGCTGTCGTACAATAGCCCAGCACTATGATCACGGAGGAAACTACCAGCAGATTTTCGACATATAGTCCATTCTGAACGGATTATGAGCCAGCAAGAATGAAGATTTAACCAATCGTAGCCTCAATCGCCGGTAGGCAAGTTGGGAGTTGTAGCTTCTAAAGATCAAAGGAATTTGCGCTGTAACACGCGCTTCGGAAGATCAAAGAGAATCAATAGCTTCTGATAGTGTAGAATGAAGCACATTAGACTTCGACTTATCACTTAACCTGATTCCGGGTTGGATAAAACTAAGTCGATATCATATTTGGATTATATTTGTTTACCACATAATGTATTTTTACAGTTATGTAAATGCTAATATGCCGTAACCTCTTTTCATAATTGTATACATTCTCATGGCACGAGCTGGTCTCTTCCTCTTAGGATGCTATAAATAGAATACATTTTGTGTCACAGATGAAGTACAATTATTATTGGGCCCAAGTCAATTTATACTAGGCAGAATATCTCTAGTGGCCATCAAGACTGCCTTGTAACTCATACATCACGAAAAAAGACGAATTAATAGGTATTTGATAGAGTGCTGAGGAAATTGTTCTTTTTAAGCAAATGTTTTCCAATTGGGCATGCGGTAAGCTGATTGTGATGGAAGTAGCCTTTTTTGTAAAGAAACAGTCCAGCAGAATTTCCGAGCTAAGGTTTAACAACAAGGAGTTTTTGTGGGGAAAACTTAGTTAATAATTTATTCGTTCATTTTCAGTTTAGTCGATTCTCTCGGTAGTGGCTCCTGTGACCGGTAACATTGAGCATGCGACCCATTTTTGAATTCAAAGTAGTATTTTTCAATTCAAACTGAGATTTCACCGCTCACCCAATTAAATACACCATTCATTTGTCACAAGACGATGAATAAAATTACAGTCTTTGTTTCTCCCCGCTGGTTACCACATATTCTTGGTATTGAGAGCAAGTAATGCAGAGGCTGTATCTTTTCGTACACGCCTGAAAAAATTTTCAGATTCCAAATTACTAGATAAGCAGGCTTCTTGCGCCATTGAATCGTCACCGTTTTCGTCCCTTTTTGTCCATGCTAAACGCCCCGCTGAAAAAATTATTTGTCCTCTTCCCTCTCTGGGTTGTAGTTTGTCTCGCCCAGCATGGCTATAGGCGCCTGCATATTTGGTTGAGTTTGTAATTGAAAGTTCGGGACTGATACTGTTGACCCTGGATTATGGGGCTTAGAATAGCTGGCTGTGGCGGCGTGTAACCTTTGATCTAATGCCTTTAGTGCTAAAGCCCGTCTACGTTCTGCTTCAGCACGTGCAGTTCCTGGCGTATTTCGCTGTGCGAGTGAGTCAATACGCGGTAAGGAATGTTCGCCTGTAGGGAATGGAGGACATATGTGTAATTTTACAAGTATGTTGTATATAGAGTTTGAGAGGAGAGATATGACAGGCTTAAGGGCGCCAGGGAAAAATTCCACGAGGGCAAATGACTCGCTGCTGTCGCCACGCAGAGAGGATTGCGATGTCTGGAGATCGGGGAAGGATTGCTTGAAAAATCGAAGATAAGTCCAGCTTGTGAGGAAGCCAGTTATAACGAGCAAGAAAGAAGCCATGCTCAATACGGGCGCAAGAGTCAGCAGGGAGATGCCGAGGATATAAAGAAGAGGGAACCGAGGCACCCTGAGACAAATGATGCCTTTAAATATAGTGACAGTATGTGCAGGTATGAGTTGCGAGAAGGCGACCAAGAAAGCGATCTGTAGGCCGATGGTGCCATTGATGGTGATAAGCCTATTGCGCAAAATTTTTGTTAGTAAAATAACCTATACTGGAGAGAATTAGCACCTACATCCAGTGCGACTGTCCGGTTAGTGTGAAAAGTATTGTGAGAAAGCCATAGCAGAGCACGTTAGGTATTAGTGACGCGACGAGGAGGAATTTAGCAAATTCCACTGACGTCCACGCCCTCTCCAGGTACCTTCCGCTGTAGAAGATGGTAACCGCACTGATAGCCAAGGTGACCAAGTTTTTCTCGAATAATGTTGTGGTGAGTAGTGTCCATGGATATATGAGAGAGACATTAGGCAGGAGAGCAAGCCACGCAATAACAAACTGTGAAGAGCGAGTCCAGTGCCGGTATTTGATTGCAAAGCCTAGGAATGTCTGTGAGAGAAGCACGAAAAGGACGACACGAGTGACGGGCGGAAGATTTAATCGGGTAGGCATCGTTTCTTTCCACTTGTAACTGCTATATGAGCAGCATTGATGGAAGGGGACGTGATAGCCAGATCGCAACGATGACTATTACGAAATTGGTACGTCAACGGCAGAGACTGGAGCCACTTATTCGGCTGGAGGTACGCCATCTGATTAATTTGTGGTCCGTGGGCTCGCCATGGATAAATGAGTGATGCGGGACTGAAACTCTATCAGCGATACGGCTGCAAACGCCATAGATTGCACGAGTCAGCCGTCAAAAACACTAACTCTCTTGTATGGATTAATTTGTTAGGTGATTATTGAGCATCTTCACTAAATGAATTCTCTCAAGCAGATTTCAAAAAAAAAGATCTTCAAAGTCTTGCAAAATGACTGGAAAACTCAAATCCTGAGACATGAAGAGTGTATAAAAGCAAAAGGAGTTTGAAGGCTCTATCAATCGTAGGCACCAAAAAGGACACATCTGACAAAGCTTAAGCCATACCACTTTAGGGATTACAGAAGATTGACACAATCTCCATTTATTAAATATAGAACAAGTATCGGAAATATCAGGGCCGATTTATTTCGAATTAAAAAAAGCCAGAGATAAGCCTTGCGACTTTCCTTGATAGGGAAAAAAACTTTACAACACCTACTTTTCAATTGCAGTAATTCAAGGACGAGAGAAGGAAATTTTAAAAGCGCTCTTGAAGCTAGGGATACTATTCAATATAGACTGGGAAAAGAAGCAACTCTTTTCTATCTTCAAAGTGAAGGATGTATGAAGGTATTAAAATATGAATGATAAACAGAAGACTAGAAAGTGTACAAAGAAAGTTGATTTGGGAGTATTGTCGTGTAAATACTGGTTCTTAATTGATTAATTGTTTGCGATCTAAAAATGAGGATATCGCTCCAACATTTACACATCTCTCATGCTAGCCTTCACTCCACATGGCTATAACAGTGCTACTCGGACTCCAACTAAGGTTCCTTGACTCAATCATGTCTCCCACTACCCACGTATCACTAGATGCTAGTTGTTTGTACTTCAAGGTACTGAAATCATGCTCCAGTTCCACTCTGGGTGCGGCACTAGCGGCGGCGCCGGCGGAGATCACTGCGCACAGGCCCAACTCATTCCAATTGCGTGAACTTGTACGAAAAAGAAAAATATCAACAGCAAAACATGATCAAGGAGGGCAAAGACTAAACACCTGTACGCGGCGTCCTCTACGAACCTGGGAGTGAAATATTGTCACAGACCCAAGTTCAGTCAAATTTCGCAATTCCAAACAAGTTAGCGCACGAGGTAATGATCCAAGACTCTCTACTATATCAAACTCTCCCATTCAACGAGATCAATCTCTACCAAAACTTCATAAAGTTTACAAGTAGGAATTAGTATATCCTCGTTTCAATGACAGCATATCTTATTGACTCTTTTCTTGCCTAAGCTGGTCACCAAACACACTCCCACGCCGATATTTATACCCGACGGAAGAAACAAAGCGTGGTGCACAAATCTGAGAAATAGTTCTTTGGGATGGACGTGAGAGGGATCAGGACAAGTTTACAAGATGATACAGAGAATAGATACAATCTCGACGGGCGTGAAATTTTCAATTCTGGCAAGGAGGTTCAGGAATTGAACTTTGTGTGTGCCAAAAATTCGGCTGCGAGAGTGCAGCTGACACTATAAACACAAGCCAACGATAGAAGGTGTCGTGGCCCGCCTCTTGGTGGTGTTCTCTGGTATAGTATAAGTGGCCTGAGCACTTACTCCACTTGGAAAGGAGACATCTAAGAACATATTTCGCGCGGAGAAAAGTTAATGGATGATGGATGCATGTCTGGATAACTTAGGGTTTTTGTGACGTTTCCCTTGGCGAGTCATCATGTACAAGATCTAGCTTGGGGTAAAGAAAAAGCCGCCATAATTCCGCAGTTGTACTTGCAAATAAAATCCGAGGCATGACTGCCATCCCTTTAAATAAAGTCATCTATTTTGTGCTATTTCTCTGATATTGTGTCGTAGCTAGATAGCTGCATACGCAATTAAAATCAGATGCAAAAAAAGGCCAAAAACTTAAAGCAAAATAATAGGGATTCTCTTGCTGGTCAGGATCCCGCGCCTCCCGCCTGTTTCTTTTCCTGAACTAATTTCATAGTGACGCCTTTTGGTCTCCCATGAGAGCCAAAGGTAGGTCAGCACGTACCTCTCAACGTGATGTGTTTATTGTATTACTTGAGTCTATGACTATCTAGCTAATTAGGTACAGATAATAGTAGTTGAATCTGATTCGGATGATTACCCTACAACCATGGTTGTAGCAATGTCATAAAAGAGCCATAGATACTCCGGACCTAATTTTAAAGAGAGAGAACACGTCCTACGTTGTCATAGAATGAAAAATGACAGTAATAATGAGTAAAATTATAAAATAATTAAGTACTCTGACACCTGCATAGGTCCGAGGGGGCCAAATCAGAAAAATCAAATTGTTACTCAACATCAAATCCTTATTTGAAATCTTAACACGACCTCCTGTTTTTATAATGGTACGAGGGATGGAAGGAATTGTAGAGTGGCTAAGGAGGCAGAGCCCAATTTTCTTAGATACAGTATAGTCTGCAGTGCTCGACTGGCCAGCTCCGTGGAACACTACAGGAAAAAAGTTACGTTTCCAGAGTTTTTCCGATATTTATATTAAGTGTGACGGTTAGTAAACCGGGTAATGCCTGTAGTCTACGCTGGCTAGCGCAGACAGTTCTTGGCTCCTGTGAGGTATGATCAGGAATATTCTTGTAGATTCTTAGATATGCTTGCCTGGCATATTTTTCTGGTGGAACATTCGAGATTAGAGCAGAGTTGATCGAGCTTCACCTAGAAAGAGTGGGAATCTTCTAGCAATGAAAAAAGATCCTTCCAGGGACGAGACGAGAAGTTACTGGAAGGATCTAAGTCAATAAGCCGTGATTATTTCTGGGATGAAGGCCGAGGAAAGTATGAAAAGGAATGTATAAATACATGTCCGACTCCCTAGATTGCTCACCATTAGTCAGAATATAAACTACCATCTTCTATACAAATGCCCATTGCTTTTATATCTGATCCGTGACATTAAGGACGCGCCGTACCTAGTGGATGTTGCAAAATTCTTCCCAGCCACCAAAGCTCGTAGATAGCTTTTGTTAAATCGGTTACTGTATTAATTCAATTATATTTTTCTCAGTTTATGACAAAATAGGTCATGCAGGTCCTTTCTGTTGGTGAAAACAGGGGTGGTTACTTCTCTACTACAGCAGTGGACTTAATTGTTATTGTATTGTATCTTCCTCTTATCTCTCTATCTGATTCTGTAAATTATTCGTATCGGAGATATGCTGACTAGTCATCTAATAAAACCAAGAGGCGATCATCCCAGAAACAAACGCCAGTAAAAAGTTGACATTTCGACAATTTCTGCCTACAGGCCAAGTATACCTACTTAGTTTTTCCTCACTATCTGTAAGAAAATATTGGGAATTAAAATGGTTGAATTTATCAAAATTTGTTTGTCTCTTTCATTTAGAAGCTAGAAGTCCTCTATAGTCGTAGACTCAGATAGGACTATAATAAAAATCTAATCTAATCTACCTACTTAGCCGTATTACCTCCAATTTCTCTTGTACTTAAGTCGCTTGGAAGGGGGTGTTAACGAAGGTTAAAGACGCACCACGTATAAGTATGACGAAATGAAGACTCGTAGGTAAAATTGACAAAGTTTGACTTGAAGTGTAAATCAGTCGTCTTAAACAACACGCTACATTGGGAGTCCTTATCCAAGGTTATTTAGCAGGTAGGAATAACGTGTGGCACGTAAATTCAGTATCGGAAAAGGTTTTGAGATTGATTTAATTATCCTGATTTGGCGCCCTATGGGCCCATGCAGGTGTTTATCATACTTTCTAATTTACATGGGAGGAAACCTTTTGGTGAAATCACCCCAAACCTTCCTGTTTAATTTTTATGTTTTTATAATGTATCCTTTAGGATACGCAGTTACACAGCAGTGCCCTCCATATAACCCAATCACATCAGCTTTATCGACCTCAAGAGAGGCATGACCTGTTCCTTTCCCTCAGCAGCATTTCGACCGCCTTTGTCATCTGGAATTGCTCTATCAAACCATGGTTTAGGAACCACTGTGTTATCCTTTTGATATCTCCAGGATTTTTTATCATCGCTTCGAAGGATCGATCTTTGGCTTGTCTCCAGATCTCAGCTCTACCATTTGACCATTGGGGGCAGGACATAATCATATGCTTGGGGTTCTGTGATTGGTAGCCACATGAACAACCTGGACTTCATACTCCGGGTACTTTTCTTCTATGTAAATACGACTTAAGCCCCATGTGCCCACTTCGTATTCGCATCGCTAGACTGCTTTAGGCCCTTTTCAGGTTTCGATGGAGTAGGAGTGGCGATTCCTGGAGACTTATTTTCCATCGATCCGACTTTCGGTTCTGATAGAACTTGACTGCTCTCCAGGTTTCGGGGTCGACGATTGCTTTATGTCGAGGTAATTGGAGCCGCCTTTGATTTTTCCAGGATTTAGCCCATTCATGGTATGCTGCAACTTTTCCTGCCTCTTTCTGCCGATTTTGTGACCGGTCTTCCCCACAAATTTCCAACCAGTTTGCCTGATCTAATCTCCTGTTATTGGCTCGAATGTCTTCTCTCCCTCGTTTGGGCAATTTGTCATTACTACAGGCAGATTGTATGAGCTTCTGAACTGGTAGGTTTTTCGAGCGGCCAGCGTATTGGAGTCTTTGCTGCTTCAGGTAGATTTATATCGGTAGGGTGTATCGGGAAAGATTATTAATCGATGTAAGACCTTCATCGCAAGGCAAATTCACACTAACCAGCCAACGCTCGTCACTGGGTGTTAGGGATCCTGGACCCGCTAGGCTAGCCCCCACAAATATCTTCCTATTTACTAACCTGCTCAGTATACCTGAGCAGTATTTACTCATGTAAATTATTTTAAATAATTAAAATATAATTTGATTACCCCATTTGATCGATTAGATTACGACCTTATTTGTTGACAGTAGTCACTCACTAAATGGGAGTTCAAACCCTTTGATTGCCTAGGTGCGCCCTCGTTATCCTTTAGAATAGTATCGCAAGAAATGCGTTCATAGATCACTAGGTTCGCACTAGCGATTCTCTTTCCGAAATAGGATAGGTATCTGTTATATTCAAGCTCTATATGGAAGACAGTCCTAGATAACGTACCGCTTCACTACCCGATGACGGGCGTGTTTAAAATACACTCTCAACCTCGTTGACAAACTTCTGGCGTGTACAGTGCCTTACCATCTCAAAGCCTTCTATGTAAAATGTTTCACATCAACCACTCAAGATTGTACCCTTCCTTGGCACAATCTTACCTACCTTAACTTATCATTCTCACGTCCATCCAGAAGGTCTACTTGTCTAATTTGTCCACCACGATTTATTTGTTTCAGTGATTTATGTTGTCCAGGTCGTATTTTTGGTGGCTAGATACCGAGTCTGCTGGACATGTAGTCTTTAAAGTTACATACATGATGGTACTTGTAGAATATAATTTTCTTTGTCATAATCCATCAATTCGACAGTGAAAGGTTGATGTCGTAAGAAGCCTCGAAAAATTGCCCTGTGGGCCAAGTTTGAAGGTATTTTAAAGTTCGTTAAGGCTCGGATCAGGGAGAAATTTTTAGACCCAGATTCGTTGAGAGTAACGCTGATAAATTCTAATTCTACATCCTCATGAAATAATCTTCTTTTTCTTTTCTTTTTTTTTTTTTTTTTTTTGCATCAGATTTTAATTGCGTATGCAGCTATCTAGCTATGACACAATATCAAAGAAAAGTACAGAAAAGATGACTCAATTTACAAGAGGAGCACTCATGCCTCGGATTTCATTTGCAAGTACCACTGCGAAGTTATGGCGGCTTTTTCTTCACCCCAAGTCAACCCTCATCCGTGAATACCCACCCAGGGGAACGTCTCAAAAACCCTGAGTTATCCAGGCATGCCTCCGTCATTCATCAACTTTTCTCCGCGCGAAATGTGGTCTGAGATGTCTCCTTCCCAAGTGGAGTAGGTGCCCAGGCTACTCAAACTATACCGGAGAACACCACCAGGAGGCGGACCACAGCACCTTTCATCGTCGGCTTGTTTTTATAGTGTCAGCTGCACTCTCGCAAGCGAAGCCTTGGCGCGCACAAAGCTCAATTCGTAAAACTCTTGCCAAAATTCAAAATTCCACGCCCGTCGAAAACGTATCCCTCTTCTGCATCATCTTGTGAACTTGTCCTGATCCCTCTCACGTCCATCCCAAAGATCTATCTCCCAGATTTGTGCTCCACGCTTTGCTTCCTCCGTCGGGTATAAATATCGGCGTGGGCGTGTATTTGGTGACCGGCTGAGGCCAGAGAAAGTCGACGAGAGGTGTGGTCATTGAAACGAGGATGTACTAGGTCGTACTTGTAGACTTGATGAAGCTTAGTTGAGGATTGGACTCTTTGGGAGTGAAAGATTGACATGGTGGAGTAATTTGAATTTTTGCCTCGTGGGCCAACTTCTTTGATATTGCGAAATTTGACTGAACTTGGCTCTGGGAGAATATTTCACTCCCAGGTTCGTAGAGAGCACCACTGACAGGTGTTCAGTCTTGCCCTCCTGAAATAATCTTCGTAGAAACGAAGAACTGACAATTGGATGTGAGTGTTAATTTGTGATTAGTAACAGACAAAGCGTCGGCGTGAGAATGAGTGGCCATATCATTAAATCCATAGCTTTCCCTAGCGCCATCCTAATCACACGATTCGGGCCAATCAGCGGCCCAGAAATTACACTGTCTTATTATCGTCAAAGTAGGATCCACAGATATAATAGCCATAAGAGATATACCATCATCAGCGCCATCCGCAGCATGCTCGATTGCGTTTTTTACTATGTGCCGCTGTCACTGAATCAGATGATGCTACCATAAGAAACTCAACGAAGATGAGCATTTTCCCCGAACGGACGCCCTCCCTGGACGATGAGACAGCTGTTCTTCTAATAAACGTCAGGTTCACGAATTCCTTCGATCTCCCCATCGATATCGACCAACCTCGCCAGACCTACGTCGCGGCTCTCAAGCATATGGTGCGCTCTAAGCTCGAGGAACCGCTCTCTAACCACTGCTTTCGTTTTATTTACAGTGGCAAGCTACTTCGGGATGAAGATATCTTAGGCAATGTTCTGAAGCTTCCTGGTGCACCTCCACGTCGCTATGACCCATCTGGAAAAGGAAAAGCTATTGAAATCAGTCCTACGCGTATCTGTATCCACTGTGCTATTGGCGATGTCCTCACACCGGCCCAGCTGGCAGCCGAGGCCGAAGCGGCCATAAAGTCATGGAGCAAGCCATTCCATCCTCGTTCTGACACAAATCATGCAACATCCCTTCCACCGCTCAAATTATTTAGCTCGACGCCGCGCGGATTTGATAGGCTGCTTTCAAGCGGATTTACAGCAATTGAGGTGAACCAATTGCGCCTGCAATTCCGGTCCATTCAGCAGAGCATCCATACGCCCGATACTATGCCATCCCCTGACACTCTCCTACAAATTGAAGATGCCTGGATTGATGATAACTCCGGGAATAACCCGAGTGCCTCTGGCTTCGACTTTGGAGATGATAGCCTGGGAAGTGGCGCCATTGACGATATTTTGTGGGGTAACCTAATCGGATTCTTCTGGCCACTGGGATGTATGGGATTCTTAATGCGGGAAAGCGGGCTGTGGTCCCGCAGAAGACAGATTGCCGTATTCACCGGCTTTATTCTCAGCATTGCCTTTGGGATGTTGCGGATCTTGTCGTGAATTATAGACTTGGGGCATCATGTCTTTAATGAACCCCCCTAAGGATTGAGAAATGAATGTTTAGTGATAGAATGCTCGATTAAGGTGGCCATCTACTCCGAATGTATATCATTAAGCAGCCAGATTAGCCAACTAAATTTTTTCAAAGACTCGATACATTCAGCTCCTCACAACTAAAATGCTCGAACTATTGAGAGATGAGCTTAATTTTGAGACTTCGAGTGCCAAAAACGTCGATCTATCAAGTTTCTTGGTCCAGATAAACTATTTACTCAGGGAGTATGTAGTTCACTACAAAAATAGTGAGGCTTAACAGAGAAATGGGATAATTCGCATAAATTGACTCTATAAGTGTGTTACATACAACGCAAGTAGAAGCAGCTCGCTGCATTCGAGCCATCAATGTGATTTCAGTCTGTCTAACTATAGGTAAGAATTCAATCTCCATTAAATATCAATTATCTCAAATTCAACTTCATCCACGCATAGCCTTTTATCATTCTATATAAGTGTTCAGCCATCTATTCATGAAAAAGATGAATGTGATATTCACAAATTTACTGACTTTTACGAAAACTAGTTAATCACAATTTAGATTTAACGCTACAAAGTCTTCTATGAAGTAATTATGTCTTAAAGATACAGTCCTTGACCATCCTCAGATATCAATAAATGGCAGTTTTAAATCCTTAAATTATCTAATCGAAACTTTGTAAGCTTTTTTATAATCATCCTATTGCAGATGATGCGATCTCGCTAGCCTTCAACAAAAGGTCAACTGTCTATGAAAGCTATATGTCCATAATCTCGATTTCAACTGGGAGATGAACCTGGACGTTGTTGTTATACACTAGATGAACATAGTTTGGCGACATAGTAAAACGGCACTAATTTCTGGATACACTTGAGATTTTGACTGGAAACATACTTCAGCTCGCGTCGGAGTGTGTGAAAATTCTAACCCTACTTCTGGCACATTTCTCTTCTCAGCTTTATCTTCCACCGACATGTTTATAGGCATGCAAAGATCAAAAAGTCTCGACTAACAGAGTTTACACACTGAAAGTTTAAGGATTGAACAGGGCCTTGGCCATTTGCTTCATCAATTTGGAGGAATAGCTCTTGAAATACTGACCAACTACTGCGATATTTGTTGAACTCTACTATGACAAGGGCTGGCGAAATGATAATGACTCAGAGCTGCGAGTATTGCATTGCAAGGGTGGCGAAAGGGAAAGAATTTATTGCGTACATAAGGCCAACAGTACTACATCGTCGACATTCGAGCCTAGCTAAGAGAAAAGTCCAGTGGACGATAAAAGTAAAGAAATAAGTCGCTCCATCTCCTTGGTGCCGTCTTTCCGTGTGGTTATTATAGTAACTAGAGCAGTAAAGGCCTCAAAGAGCGCAACTCCAATTATTCTATTTTTAAATTATGAAAAAAAAAATTATAACTGCTTGACCGATGATGCCATTCCGAGATGAGTAAATCGCGCAAAATAACGTAAAAAATACACTTAAGAGTGCTTAACTTTAGCCGGGTCCGAATTCGTAACCCTATTCCGATGAGAAACAAAAATTTCAGGCTCATCTCTCATTTGTACCGAGAATATACTCCAAAGTCATTGTTCTACAATGCTGGTGTGGATATTTATCATGTAGAGACATGATTCATTCATGAGTTGATATTGTTCAGACGATCATGACTATATCACAACGTCATGTACAGGCACGCCTCATCGTTTGTGCCTGTTGTATCAACCATGACTATGTCTCAGTGATATGAGAAACATCATTGACTAGTTACTAGAAACCTAATCAAGATCCTAAACACACAACTGAGACTAGGAGAATTTTACTGAGTAAGTAATTATTCTGATTAATCTAGATCTAGAGGAACATAATCTGGTTGCTTGGCTCGAGGTATATGAACCTGAGCATATCATGTATTATAAAATATATAGAAATCTATCTCAATCACAATCATCATCTTAATTCATGTCACCATCAATAGCTGCAAAGGAAAGTTTAACCATTTCCTTATAGCATATGTGGACGACGTCTTAGTCTATATAGATGGAAACTTGAAAGAGCACGAACGCCATGTTTGTCTCGTACTTGATAAACTTCTCAAGGCTGGTCTAGGACTCGACATTGAAAAATGCGAATTTAGCGTCAAAAGAACAAAATACTTAGGATTCATTATCTCAGCAGAAGGCGATATACCTTCAGTGAGGATGGACCCGGAGAAAGTCAGGGCCATTTCTGAATGGGAAGCACCAACGACTACAAAAGGATTGAGAGCATTTCTAGGATTTGCAAATTTTTATTGTGGGCTTATAGATAATTATTCAAGAATTTCTACCCCCTTCACATCTTAAACGGGGAAAAGTACTCCTTGGAGATGGGGTTTAGAACAGCAACAAGCCTTTGAAAGCCTAAAAGCAAAGTTCATCGTAGAACCTGCCTTAGCTCAATGGGATCCCGATAACGAAACCATGCTAGAAGCAGACAGCTCTGGATACGCAATCGGAGGGTGCTTGCTTCAGAAACAAAAGGGCGGAATGTGGAAACCAGTTGCATATTATTCTCGAAAATTGAGTGGGGCGGAAATGAATTATGAAATTCATGACAAAGAGCTTCTGGCAGTAGTTGCATGTATGAAGGAGTGGGACGTCGAACTGAGGGGATTAGCCAAATCCTTCACAATACTGAGTGATCATATGAACCTCAAATACTTCTTAACCACAAGGAAGTTGACCGAAAGACAAATTCGTTGGGCAGAGTTTATGTCAAGATTTAGGTATAGCCTCCAATATAGAAAAGGAAAAGAAACGATCGTCCGGATGTGCTCTCTTGCAGAGACCAGGATAAGCCGAAAGAAGGCGACGCTCGTCTTCTATTTCGAGAACGAAGACTGTTGAACCCAATCAATGTAAATAAGATATTTATCGATGGTTTACCATTAGCTGAGGGCCGAGAAGTTTTTGTCAACAAAGACCTACAAGAACTCTGGAACCAAGCTCTCAAAACTGACCATAACTTTGTGAAAATTGTGGAGGCAGTACGGAATAATGAACGAGGATGGCCTAAAGATCTCAAGATACAGATAGAAGGGTCGGAAGAACCCAAACCACTGAAAGCGATGATTGCAGCTTGTTCTTTCGAAAATGAAACCGGGATCCTTTATTACCAAGGGCGTATTTGGGTACCGCAATTCGAGCCTCTTACCACAGGGATCATACGAAATATCCACGACGCTGCTGTATCAGGACACCCGGGTGGGGACGCAACGTTAGCGCAGGTAGCGCGAGGGTATTTATGGCCAGGCATTAGCAAGGCAATTAAAAGGTACTGCAAGAATTGCTATATTTGTGGAAGATCAACAATTTGGCGACACCAGAGACAAGGACTGCTAAAGCCTCTACCTATACCCGATCGATTTCACCAAGAATTATCGATTGACTTCATGACAGATCTTCCCGTGTCAAATGGAGCAACTAACATCATGGTGATAACAGATAGACTTCTCAAGTCAATTACCTTGGAGTCAATGGAAAAGACGGACGCCGAGTCTTGCGCGAAGAGATTCTTGAATTGCCATTGGAGATTTCACGGATTCCCGAATGCTTTAACAAGTGATCGAGGTACTAATTGGACTAGCAAATTTTGGACGCACCTATGCAATTTAGTCGGAATGGAACAAAGATTAAGCACAGCATATCACCCACAAACAGATGGGGCCACGGAAAGAGCAAACCAGGAAGTCCAAACCTATTTAAGAGCCTACGTTGCGTATACCCAATACGACTGGTCAGAATACCTCCCTGCTGCCCAATTAGCAACAAATAATCGTGATTTGATAAGTCTAGGAGGTATTATTCCATTTTTTGCAACTCACGGATACCACGTGTGTCCAATCCAATCTTATGTTTCTGAATCTATGGAGTCTGTTTCAACAGGAGAAGAAAGAGCTAAATCGTTTGTTGAGCATTTAACAAAAGTCACCACATTCATGCAAGCTACCATGGCAGCTGTACAAGAAAGGTCCAAAGAACAAGCCGACAAGAAAAGAAACCCATCTCCAAGATATGTAGTTGGAGATAAAGTATGGCTCTTGTTGCGGAACATTAAACTAGATGGACAACCGTCAAAAAAGTTAGGTTGGCAGCACGCAAAATATCAAGTCACAAAAATTACATTGCCAGAAGTGGTAGAATTAAACGTTAAAGGAAAAATTCATAATTGTTTTCATGTAGATTTACTTTTACCTGCTGATGAAAACCCCTTGCCGTCTCAAGAAACAGATGTAGAGCCAACACCTGTCACAAACAGTGATGGAGAAGAAGAATTTTACATTGACAAAATAATCCAATGTAGAACCTGGCATGGCAAGCGGCAAGCATTAGTCAAGTGGACAGGTAACCCGACTCCTGAGTGGACTTCACTTACAAATTTACAAGACACTGTCGCATTAGATAGTTGGGAAGCCAAGTGGGGATCTGCAAAATTAATTAATGGTCCAAAGCCATGAAAAAAAAGGGTAAATTAGGGGGGTTGATGTTATGGGTTGACCGTGTGGTGGCTTAGGTAGACACCTAAGCAAGATCGAAGGTGAATATATCATCTCTAAATCATGGGAATGACGTGTAAGGAGACATCTGATATGACATGCGAGTTGGAATGAGGTAATGTATGAGTGAGAATGAAATGACGTCTGGTTAAAGGACTATCTAATATTGAAGGAAGGGACGAGTTAGAAAGGATTATAAGTAACCTTATTTGGTAGCAATAGTTTCCTTTCTTCTTTAATGAGTTCAATACATCGAATTTCATCACAGCCAGCTTGGTTTTATCACATGGCCCACGAGCTAAAAAGTCAAATTACTCCACCACGTCGCTTTTTCGCTCCCAACGAGTTTGACTTCTACCTAAGTCTCGTCAAGTCTACAAGTACGACCAAGTACATCCTCATCTCAATGACCACACCTCTCTTCGAC